GTGTGTGTGTGTCTGTCTGTCTGTCTGTCTGTCTGTCTGTCTGTCTGTGTGTGTGTGTGTGTGTGTGTGTCTGTCTGTCTGTCTGTGTGTGTGTGTGTGTGTGTGTCTGTCTGTCTGTCTGTCTGTGTGTGTGTGTGTGTGTGTGTGTGTGTGTGCGCTCAGTCACATGTTTCCACTCTCGTCTCTGTCTCAGGCGTTTCCACAGAAACTGAAGCTCTTGTATATTTTTAGAAGCCTTTTATTAAATTTTCTGGGTTGATTTATTTACTTTTTTCCTTCATGCTGGATCCAGAATCTGCAGCCGGTCAGCATGCCGCCGCTGTGCTCGCAGAACGACCAAACTTAGGCATCGCCTGCAAAACTCGCTCAGCTCAGTGTGTGAGAAATATGAGAGAAGGATGGAAATAGAAAGAGAGGTCAGGAGTGTTTTCTGTGACGCACAACTTAAAACAACATCCTAACATCATTTTTCAGGAAAAAAACCAAAGGTGAAATCTTTAAAATTTTACAATATGAAAAATAAAAAGGTGAATTTAACAACTGTTTACAGAGACGGCGTTGATCTTTAAACCCTTTTAGACACTTGGTTTTTGGTTTTCTGGCACATTTACAGGAACATCACAGAAAATCATTTAAAAAACACTTAAAGGCATTTCATGCTTTTGTATAATTTTATGTGTGTGTTGCTGCACAGCTGTCTTTCTGGGGACTTGTGTTTGGTTCAGTCTCTATGAGGACATTTCTGGAAGGCAGGGATATTTTTTGGAAAGTCAGAATTATTTTTTAACTTTTGCTTTATGGAGAAAGACAGTTGCATCGTCAAAAGTGGGCCCATTTCTGAGAGGAACATGTTTGTTTTTGTTTTTTTGCATAAAATGAGGCCATTTTCTTCGAAATTCCCAGGCAGGGCCACAGGCTGGTCCCAGTGAGGGTTGCTTCAGGAAAGCCATTCAGCATAAAATCTTTGCTGCTGCCCAGTTAGGACACTGGTTTGGAAAACGAGGGCATTAAGTGAGATCCTCACTTTGGGACAGACTTTTAACAGTCTGTTTGAAGGCTCCCACACTCGTTTCTGTCGCACACTGTTCAGGTCCTGTTAACAAAGCACCAAATCACAGCAGCAGTCGTCTCAAAGTGTTTTATATTGAAGGTAAAGGCCCTACAATATACAGAGGAAAGCCCCACGATCAGACGACTCCCTTTGAGCGAGCACTTGGTGACAGTGGGAAGGAAAAACTTCCATTAAGGTCTCAGGAAGGTCTTAAACTAATGAGAATCCCCACAAAGGCCCAAATACATTCCTGTGTGAGTGAAATCAGCTGATTTTATCTTAGAAAGAAGAACAAAACTCCAGATTCACTGAAAAAGAAAAGAAAAATAATTCTGTTCTGAATCTGAAAGGTCAGGGCGAAATGTCACGGGCTGCCTATCTGTACGGGGTCGTCACATTACCCATCTGCTGCGCGCTTTCAGACTCTGCAGGATGCTCCAGGCCGCCTCCTCGGACCCGAGAGGTTCTCATCAACGGGCAGGCGGTCAAGCTGAAATACTGCTTCACCTGCAAGATCTTCAGGCCGCCCCGAGCATCGCACTGCAGCCTGTGCGACAACTGTGTGGGTCAGTGCGTGTCTCCCTGTGTGTCACAGCCTTAGCTCAGTGCTAAAGCTGCTGGCTGTGCTGCTTGATTCCAGCTTTAAATTAAACATGAAATCAGACTTTCTGATGATTTTCCTCCCACAGAGCGCTTCGACCATCACTGTCCGTGGGTGGGGAACTGCGTCGGGCGGAGGAATTATCGCTTTTTCTACCTGTTTATCCTCTCCCTGTCCCTCCTCACTGTCTTCATCTTCGCCTTCGTCATCACACACGTCATCCTCAGTGAGTAACGGCACCGCCCCCGCACACATTTTCCTCTGTGGTCTCTACATCGACCGTAGTTCTGTTAGTTAGGTTAATGTTCTGCAGAGATTCGTGCATGTTTGCGCTCAGACGACATAAAAACTTTATTTATAGAAGCTCCTCTGATACTTTTTGGCAGGAAGTAAAAACTGAGAAAATATTTCAAAGAAAAAAGGAGAAGAAGCAGAAACATGGACAAAATAAAGACTCTGATCAAACCAAAGCAAAGTTCTTTTTAGAGACGATCCTGGTGACCAAGTGAAACCGAAGAAAACCATCAGACAGGAAAGTAATCATCATTCTCCACAGTAAATAAAATAAAATATCTGGGCACGCGGTTTTGTTGTTGTGCTGACGATGCAGAGCTATCAGGAAGTGTTCAGGAAGAGGTCAGTTGACCAGCGAGCGCTGTGTCTCTGCAACGGTTTCTAATCTGTGTAATGTAACTCACCCATCAGTGACCTTCAGCCCCACCCACTGTCCTGTGATTGACAGGCTGATCAATGCGAGTCAGACAGACTGGGCCAGTTTTTTATGCTCAGAAAGCTGCAGATCAAAGTCCTGTTGGAAGAAACTCACCAGCTGATTTAAACGTTTCCTCACTTTGACCCAAAGGTCGCTCTTCTCTTTGCCGTCTCTGTTTCTGGCTCGTATAGACTCAAACAGTCTGAATAGGTTCAGTCGTCTCATCATAGGTTCATTCTCGTTGGTCCCTCTTGTCTCACTCCGGGTCCTCAGGTTAGTGCCAGTCTTTGTTTGGTCGTGACTTTGATTCTGGCCTTGCAGGAGTTCTCGGACTTGTTTCAGTGTTGTGGGTCTCGTGTTGGTTTTGTGAGTCTTTAAATTAAGATTAGTCCAGATCTTAATTGTGATTTTCCTTGTTTGAATCTTGCCTGGTGGTCTTTTTGCTGTGGGTGTTTCTCAGGCTAAGCTTCATCCCTGTTTGACGACAAAGATGTTTGATTGTGAAACCATGTTTGTGGAATTCTCTTCTTTCCTGTTTTTGTGGAAATCCACATAAACTGGTTGCTGCCTGGGAGGAACTGTAGCACAGATCATTGACTTTGTGTTTCTGGATCTAAAGGCGCCTGCTGATTTCTCTCTGTCTCTGACCTAATTTTGCACTTAGGCTGCGGATGTTTTTTTCCTGCCCTGCAGGTCCAAAGCGTCAGGAACCCGAAGCCTCGAGCTGCCGCTGTCTGAAACTAATGACTGGCAGACTGGCTGAGATGAAGACGCAGCTTCCTCTGAGGGCTGCGCCGCTGGTTTTCTGTTTTTGGCTGTTGTGACTTTGATATAAATGCAGGGAGCTGTGACATCAGCCATCTGTTTTCAGCAGTTTACATCTTTAAGATGACGACCGAATAAGCAGTTGTTGCCTATCCTCACTGACGCACCCAAACATAAATGCACTATACACAGGAAAACAGAGGGTTGGTTGACACCAAGGCAGAGGAAGATCCGCAGCAGCAACTGAGCCCAGAAATGTATTCATGTGGACGTAGAAAATAAAGACACGTAGATGTTTCTACCTGGTCACATTGAAACAGAGCATTCAGTCGGGCTCTGTTTCAGATTGGATGCTGTAATGTTCTTTATAATGAGAGCAAGACTGTAGGCAGTGAGAACTGAACACTTCAGCCCAGATGATGGTTTTCTCTCTCTGTGTTCTGCAGGATCGAACCAGACGGGTTTCCTGGGCGCGCTCAAAGACAGCCCAGCCAGATATCCTTCCCCATGGACAGTTTCAGCTCCTTTTTATTCTGAAAACAACTTTCAATTATTCACATGCAAAATATTCCTCCTTCTTCTTTTACTCCATCTTGGTGCAGCCCTTCAGACCATCCTCTGTCTGAAACAAGCTGTTGTAGCTCCTCCCCCTGACAGCCCACTCTCTACTAGCCTCTGGAAGCCTGTTGAGGGGCAGCACTCCGTGCTTTTCCATTGTAAGTGTGTAAGGAGCTGATGGAGGATACATTCAGATATTTTCATAGAAAATAAAAACAGGTTCCATTTGAAGACTGTGAACTTAAACATGCCTCGTAGGAAGGTTTGGACGCACTCGTACTCTTTAGTCATTTTACATTTTCCATAAATGATTGCAAGCATTTAGTTTTGGTTCTGTAATATCAGCACAGTCATGGCCACGTTCACCTCCTCAAGCTTCTACAGTCTGATTCATTTGGTGCGCAGCCATAAAGACACCAGCCGGTCCTCCATCACTGACGTGCATTACATTTAACATCAGGTTAGTTTGTGTTTCTTACAGTAATTGTTCTTCCGGCTTCTCAGTTGTGATTTTTCCAGTTTTTTTGGAGAAATAAAGAGTAGAGTCTGCCTGCAGCCGCCACAGAAAATCAAACCCGGGCGTTAATTACCCCTCATACGGCTTCCTTCCAAAATCAATCCGTCTGTTGCTGTCACCATCAGCTGTGACCACTGGTCAATATGTCCCACAATGTACTGCCAAGGTCAAATTCGCTGACCCTGTCACACCAGAAACAGTAAATCTTCTGTTTCTGCCATTTTCAGTTTTTACTGCAAATAAAATCACTTCAGTTCGTTAATGCAGACGCACAGAAATCCTCCCGTAGCTCCACTTTATCCCCCATCCAAAGACCCGAGTCAGTCCTTGACCCTGCTCTGCACCGTCCTGGAGGTGGTGGTGTGTTTCTTCTCCATTTGGTCCATTGTCGGCCTGTCAGGCTTCCACACCTACCTGATCAGCTCCAACCAGACCACCAACGAGGACGTGAGTATACCTGAGGTTCGAGGACCTAAACGTGAAAAGGGCCTGCAATGTTTCTGATACTCTTGTCTGGTCCAGATTAAAGGGTCCTGGTCCACCAAACGAGGGAAGGATAACTACAACCCGTACAGCTACGGGAACATCCTGACCAACTGCTGTGCTGCCCTCTGTGGACCTCTACCTCCCAGGTCAGTAACCAGCTCTAAAAACAGGACTAGACTCTGTGCTTATAATCAGGACTAAAACCAGGAATACAGAGAGTTATGTGCAGGGCTAAAGGAGATTAAATGAAGAATTGAGAGTAGGAGTAACTCTGGGCTGCTCTGAGGTGAAACTGATCAAAGTCTGAAATCCAGCATGAGCTCTGCACTGATCACTGAAGGTGTTACTAAAATCAGGACCGACTGATAGTTTTCAGGAATACATGAAATGAATCCCGGTCTAAGAAGGATTAAATAGATCAGGATTATAAAAGACTTAAGTGCACTGACATTAGTCCTAAAACAGGGCTCAAATTTAGACTACAGTTAGGACTAAAAACAGGATTAACATTTGAACTAAAATCAGCACTGAAACCATGACTAAATTAAGCACCAAGCTTAGAACTAAAGTCAGGACTAAAGAGAGTTCTTCAGGACTTTACTTTGAGCTAAAATTGGGAATAAAAAATCTGGAGTACTTTGCATTGTATTTAGAAATGACCTGTAATCACTGTAATCTGTGCTTAAAGCTGAACTGAGGTCAGGATTGAAATGACTTCAGTAATAAACTAACAGCCGTGTTGTTGGATTCGATGGCTGGAGCTTTGCAGCCTCAGTTGTTTGTTCCTGGAAGTCGGAGCTCCAAGAAACAAACAAGCTTTTCTTTCTTGGTTTACGCCTGAAAACTTTGCCTTGCTGCTCCTGCTGAAGCTGCTGATGTTTCGCTCTGCTGGTCTCTGAACATAAAGGTGCTTCAGGCGGTCTCTCTTCTTCCCCCTCCTCTCCGCAGACGCCAAGTTTCTGTGTTTAACGAGGACAGTCTTCAGCTGAGACCTTGCACAGAGTAATTACAGCCCTCACGGCTTCCCGTCTCTCAGCTGACTGTCGGCTCGTCTTCTGCACAGAATTAATCAAAAGAACGATCAGAGCGGCCGAGCGATGGCTCTCCTTCATCGTTACCGCCTCCTCGCCGCTTCCATGAGCTCCTATGTTTCCATCCCACCTGCCGTATATCATCATTACAGCGGGAGACCTGGGCTGGGACTCTGCGACACGCTGCTGATACTTTTTATCGGTTTGTCAAAGCAGCTGATCGATGACGTCTTGCTCAGCACAAAGTTAAGCTTTTATGGGCGGAGCTTTGGTTTCTAACTAAGCGCAGGAACAGACACAGACCCAGTGCTTTTAATTATCTGATATATATACTGCATACTCGCCTTCTTTTATTCTCTGTGCTGTTGATCATTTCACCTCTGGTCAATGAGCTTCTATTGACTTCAGGGCTAACATCAGGTCTGTCTGCTGTGAATTTAAAGCTAAACAATCAAAAAACAGGATTAAGAGATTAAATAATCTGAACAGAATCAAACTGATTCCGGACTAAAGTTGGAACTAAAAGTAGAAATCATTTAACATTAGCTCAGGACTGCATTCATCACTGAAGCTAAAGCCAAACAGAATAAACTAATCAGGGTTACAGTCAGGAATGCTAGTACCTGACTTCAGCACTTAGCAGGACTAAGATCTGATTTGTGGTCTAAATGAAATAAATGAACCGGTGAAATCAGGACTAAGTCAGGCCTGCAGAGCACTCTTCAGAGAATTTTTGCAGTAAGCCCCAAAAGACACGACGGTTAGCACTAAAATCACTCATCCTTTGAACAGGATTGCATTAATATCCTAATTCAGGACTAATCCATACAGAGAGCAGCAAACAGTTAGTCCAACACAGAATTAGATAAAAGAAAAAAATTAAGCCGAGCAGCAGAAAGTATCTGTGTGCAGCTTGAGTGATCAGATCCCTGCAATGTGCACGGACTGTAAATTTCATTCTTCAGGAGCTCTCAAAGGAAACGTCGATCGGCCGGCCAGAAGCTTTTCTTGTCTCTCAGTCGCTCTGTGATCCGGCTGCTTTTAAAAAAATGACTGTTTGTTTTTGCAAATGAAATTTCTCTTTTTGTTGTCGTTAATCTTTGTGAATGTTTTTGAAATTATCTCCAGGAAAAATGTTTTGTAATATTTTCACATTTTTTCAGGTTTTTCAGGTTTGCTCACTGAAGGACGCCTCTTATTTACTAAACATCGTTTATTGAATGAATCCAACTGAAAAGAGTCTCGAGTGTTTTAAACAGTCAGTGAAGAATGTTGTGTAGAGAAGTGTTGGTGTTTGCAGCCCGGTGCCTCTGTGGAGATTCAGTTAAAGAGAAAACTGTGAAAAGAAAACAGTGACGAAGGGTTTTCCTCTGTGTCCGTGTTGTTTCGTCCTCTGAGGTCACAGACGGAGGAGACGAGGCTCTGATGATGCGTCCAGACGGGTCAGCAGGAGCTCTCTGACGAGGCACCAGCTTTAATATTAATATTAATAATGATGATGATGTGTAACAGCGAGCTGCCTCTGGGAGGATATGCAAGGAGGATTTTCAAAGTAAAAGGATGATGAGCATATGGAGCCTCATTATACAGTCTGCTTGTTTACTCATGGCTGGCTGCTCGCAGCGTTTGAACATGTCGACTCCACCTGCTTACAGGGCGACAGGTGGCGGCGTCCATCTGCATGCTCACAAACACAAAAACACACGTTTCAGGTCAAACTCACTTTTCCTGCAGCCACAGACTGATTTATTTAGCTGAATCTCCCAGATCGAGGTCGCCTGGATGATGTTGGACCGGGTGTTTGACCCAACGTCTCTCAACTTCATGTTCTAGCCTAGGCTCCCCCACCCCCCCAGAGACAGGATATTACTTGATCCTGAAGCCAGTTTTGGCCCCCAGGAGGGCGGGGATGTGCATTTCTGGCCAGGCTGAACTGATCCCCTGGTCTCTTTACTGGTTTTGATTTCCTCAGAATGTGATTGTTTGTGATTCTTCTTTATCAGTCTGATTGACAGGAGAGGTCTGATCCAGTCCGGCACGCCGCAGACCGTCTCCCAGTCCAATGGCACCAGCAACAGCAGCTATGCCTCCACTCAGCTCCACAGCAACATGGTAGGTGAAGGACGCCGTCATACTGCCCGTTACTGATGCGTCACAGAGAAAAATCATCATAAGGATCTGAAACGCACGTATTCAAAACTGTTTGAATGTAGATTTTTGTTTTTCTTTACGTTTCTTGGGTGTAGAAAAGAAGCTAAAGCTGTTTGGCTGGTGTAACATAAAACAAACTGATAATAAAAGGTTAAAGGGGATAAAAATAAGTAAAAAACAGTAAAATGTGACTTTATTTTAATTATTTTAATTATTATACAGCACATGTTAAACTTCCAAAATTGATCAGAATGAACTGATCAGAATGACGTAAACATCGAAAGAGTAAAAACCTCTGATTGTTCATTTAAAGATGGCCTGGCTTAAAGCTGCATTCTTTCTTGGGTCCAGCAGGGGGCTCATCCCTGATGATGCGCTGGTTTCGGTCTTTTCACTCATCCTGGAAACTTGAGCAGCTTTTGTGGCCATTCAGGTGAATGTGTTGTAAATAAAGTTTTATGGTGTTGAATGTCTCTCAGTGTGATCAGGATCAGTGCATCCAGAGCACTAAGTTTGTGCTGCAGGCTGCCACCACGCCTCTGCTGCACAGCGACCCCGTCGTGCTGGCCCCGCTGCCAGGTAAGACCACCACTCTGGGGGGCCCCTGCGCCTACCTGGCCCCTGCCCAGCCGTCCCTGCCATCCTGCGGAGGCGATGTCCTGACGCTGAGGGACGCCGCTGTCGACTCCCGCTGTCACCACCACCTGCACCTCCATCACCACCATCACCACCACCACTTTGTGAGTCCGGAGGAGACGCCATGTGCCACGCCACAGGGTGCCCTGCCCTGCCCCGCCCACCTGCACCTCCACCACCAACCCCACCCTGCCATCCCCTCCCCCGTTGCCCTGTACGACCCTGCCAGTCAGGACGCTCTACACGAGGACTCGGTCAGGGGGCTAGTGAAGCTCAGCTCCGTCTGAATGTGACGTCCGTTGGACAGATTTTTACTGTCTATGGTAAAAAAACTTAACAAATAAAACAAACTGTTTCCAAATCGTGATGATAAAAACGAACACACCTCAGTAAAACATCTGATCACAAACTCAGCTGATGGGCTGGTGTCTCGGGTGAAGATTGTCCTCAGAGTGAAGACTTGTCTCCAGACGCCAGAGAAACGCTGACACTTTCTCCCTTTTAGACTTTTTGTCTTTGACGCTTCTCGATTTCACATTTTTTGTGACTTTGTTTGGCAGCTTTTAGAAAGTCCACCTGTTCTGCCCCGTTTGTCCTGTATTAAATATTACTTTAGTAAACTCAAGACACTTTCGCACAAAAGCACCTTTTCTGTTTGGACTTCTGTCTGAGGACCAAAGCTGGACTTGGTCCTCGTCCACTTTCCGTTCGTGTTTCATCCTTCGACCAACCTTCATTCTTTGAATTCCTGCTAAAAACATTGAATCCAGAATAAGCTACTTTAATGCCAAACGTTCAGCTGCAGCAGCAGCAGGACCAAAACTACAAACTCTGACTTTTTATTTTATTACATATAATAAATAATATTTGATTGTTTTTTGATTCTGATGGTAACTGATTGGTGTTCTGAGACCAGCATTTGCCTCAGCCAATCAATGTTTGTGATACAATGTCAACAAATAAAAAACAAAAAGCCAATTCAAAGATCAGTTTGAGCTGCATGATGATATTCAAATGTCTTCACGTCATCATGTTTCTGAGTCAGAGGAAAACTGAAGGTTTAGTGTTTGGTTTAAATGATGGACGAATCCATCATGCGTGTTTTTCCTGAGTACACATTCATGCGTTAGGATGCCCAGATGCACCACAGCAACGTGGAGTCTTCATGTAGGCGTCTGTGTGGTGCTGCATGGATGAGTTAACAAATTCCATTAACCTCCAATTAAAAGCTATACTCAGATGTAGGGATGGGTATCGTTTAGGTTTTATCCGATACCGGTGCCAAACCGGTACTTTTGAAACGGTGCCAGTGCTCAAACGGTGCTCAAACCGGTACTTAAAGAATGGAGAACACAAAATTGGTCCAAAAACCTCTCATGTTCAGCTGTTTATTTTGTAAAAAGATAACAATGTTAGCCTTTTCTGCAGCTATAGGGCATATATGGTATCACTCTTGGCTGGAAGCAGTGCTTAAATAATGGAAAAAACACAAACTTTGTCCAAAGACCTCTCATGTTTAACTGTTTCCCACTTTTGCTTTGGTCATTTTAGCCTTTTTGGCCAGGGTGAAGGGAGAATCTGCCATCAAACAAGAAGACAGCCACGTAACTATGACGGTGTTTGCTAGTTCACCTTACATGCATTAATGTAATAACGTGGTTAGCCTACTCAACGTAAATTACACACGGACAACATTAAGCTACTCACGCAGAGAAGAACGGCTGCTGCCATCATCATCCGTCATCATTTCTGCTACACTGGCAGGGCTAGGGGCCAGGACTCTCCTCTTCGTGTTTTTGGGGGATGTTGCTAACTCCAGGTCTGATAACAGGCACCACACCCGCAGTAGATGCGCTCGGTGTGAGGTCTCGCAGCAAGCTATCAAATACGGCGCATTTTTCGGCTTTTAAAAAAAAACGCTATGCGTCGCCAGGTGTTTCATCGGATTTGAGGTGTTACCTCCTTTGACAGTATCACAGTATCACCTTAAAGCACTTGTTGCAGGCTGCTGAGTTTGCATCTTTTGCTGTGAAGTGCAGCCAGACTTTTGACCGCTTCGCTTTGGGCATTTTTAATCTGTAGCTCTGCTCTAAAAGAACGTACGTACCTGGACCCGCCTACTATCCTCGGAAACGTAAAATGATTGGCTAGAATTCAAAGTGTATCACAGCTCAGGAAAAAAAAGCACCGAAATAAAGCACCGAAATGTGCGCTGCTTTTCGGTCTGGTTACTACCGTTTATGACAGAACTGGTGCCATCATGGCACCGGATACCAGTACCCATCCCTACTCAGATGTTTATCACATGACAAGTAAATGGTACAAATGAACGAGCTAAGAAGCCACAAAGACGATCCTCAGCAGCTTTTTATAACAGGGGTGTTGTCATGAACACTGACTGGCTGAGGCAGATGTTGTCCTACCATATAGATGTTTATTTCTGAGGATAAGAAATTTCTGGAAAACTTGTGCAGATCTGAGTGGAGGGAAGCAACAACACTGCCAGACGTTCAGCCGAGGATTGCAGGTGCTTTTTGGATATCCCTGCGTTTAAAGTTGCTTCGTTTTTAGGCGAATAAATGGCCAGTATGACTTTATATGTTGTGTTGAAGAGATGTAAACTCAAGCTGAACGCTAGCTGGGCTGGGTGTTAACGTAATACCAGCTCTTACCACATGATGGTGCAGTCCCTGAGGGAAACCTTTAATTAACCTAGTAAGTCGTTAAGAACAATTTTATTTAAAATGACGACCAAAGTAAAAGGTCAAGTCTGTGAGAAAATGGGGATACAGCTAAAAACACACCTGCTGGTAAAACGCTGCCCCCTGGTGGTGAAAGCTTTTGGGGATAATGACAAAAAGCACCTTTAAATCATTGGGAAAACTTTGCTTGTGGTGTGGAGTGACAACGAACCAAACCTGTCTTTTATTTATACAACATAAACCACCCAATAAAACAAGTTTACACTCAGTTCATTTTCACACTTTTCCAAAGCTGTAGAACCAAAATAATCACCAAATGGTCCTATAATAAAATCATCAAATGAATTTAAAATCACATACACATAAAAAAAAGCCAGACTCTCAGTGTTGGACCTCCTCCTGACCTCCTCATACACGCTGACCATGATGTGGAGCCATCTCTCCATCATACCTGTCCCTCTGATCTTCATACCTCAGCCTTTCCTCCTGTTCCCCTACGTTAAGAACGGCTTCCTGACAGGCGTCCTTCCACTGAGATAATTTCTGAAGAGGCTTCGGTGAGCAGTGGATGATCAGCTGAAGGTTCAGATCATTTCTCGGGTCCTGTTTCAGGTCTTTTTTTTTTCCTGTTTCAGTAGTTTTTAAGGTCAGGACTTTCAGATACTGTTTATCAGTTATGCACAATCTTGCACTTAAGTCGTCATCATCCATCACTAATTAAAAAGCAACAAGAGAACAGATCTGATAAAGGACTTGTGCAAAAATATCAATCACAAAAGCGTGACAACTTCTCTGACTGATCTCAGTCTACCAGGTGAGGGTGCTCTTTATTCTACAAAACAGATGATTAAAGATACGTTTTTGGACAATGAGAAACAGTTTTTAAACTTTGCCTCTGTTCACCTCCATAGTCGATTTTAAATAAAACTAAAATGATGCAATGAAAATGAAGACAGCTTTAAATTAAGGGGTTTAACAAAAGTATTACATTAGCTATTTTGGAATTTTAGCCATTTTTATTCATGGTCCCCATTTTCAGAACTTTCCATAAAAGTAATTGAACAGTTGGTTGGTGAGGACACCTTCAGAGTCTTCATCAGCAGGGGGAGAAATGGACTCACTGATGATCGCCATGTTGGGTGGCCCTCACAGACTTTGTGATGTTCTCACTCCTCTCCTTTGAGAAAGTTTTTTTGTTTCATGTTCAGATCTTATTTCAGGACAAAATGTATATCACTGTTGTGTTAGAACAGCGGTCCCCAACCCCCGGGCCTCGGACCGGTACCGGTCCGTGAGTCGTTTGGTACCGTGCCGCGAGAGTTGAGGCTCAGGTGTGAAATGTATGGTTTTCAGGGTTTTTGTCGGTTTTCAGCGTTATTTTGTTATCGTTTTTATCGTTTACTCGGTTTTCCTGGGTCTTTCCTCGTGTGTTATGAATAAATCGTTTATTCAGTACCGGTACTAGTTTTATTTTGTTGTATTTATCCGCAACACCTTAAAGGCCGGTCCGTGAAAATAATGTCGGGCATAAATCAGTCCGTGGCGCAAAAAAGGTTGGGGACTGCTGTGTTAGAAGACAAATCCAGATAACTGTAGATTATTTATTGGCTGGAATCAAACAGTTTGAAGAATAGCTAATGTTTTATTGATTTCTTTAGAAAGAAAACTGTTTGAAAAACATCATCTCACTATTAAATTTATACGCAATAAGATGACATCAATGTTTGTTAGTTGTGTTGTTAGTTGTAATGTGTCTTGTCAGTTTATTACATTCTTCCTAATATACAGTGTTTCGCTAACATGGTTCCAAGATTCTGTCAGTGTTTCTGTGACTGTCTGGCTGCTTTCCATCCTACTGAACATATGAAGGAAATATAGATGACTGACTGTATAGCAGCAGCCTTCAGATGAGTCACTCGATAATTGATTGACAGGAAATTAATCCTAATTATTCAGATTACAGGTTGTATTTTGTGCTTCACACAGGCTGTGTGCTGGCAGGGTTTAATGGATTTATTTGTTGTTGATGATACTAAACTGAATATTTTCATAATGATGACTCTGAATTCAGCTGCTGGAACCTCTAACTGATATTTGATAGGAAAACATTCAGTATAGAAGAAAACCAGAAGCCAGAATACTTGGTGTGAAGGTTTAACACTGCTGATCCTTTTGAATTGACTGAATATTAATGGACTGACGTTTCCAGTGACAGTGACTCAGTGTGTGTCCATGAATGCATCATGTATGCTGCAGTTTCATGGCTCCATCTAATGGACTGATAGTAGAAGTAGAGCAGCTGAAATAAATAAGATAATGATAGAAGCCAGGATGACAGGAAAAGAACAAAACACTGTCAGAGAAGACTGGAAACAAGCACTAAAGACTCCAAATTCATCCATGTATAAAATTTCAATATATACAAAAATTGTTTTTACCCAGACGGAATCACAGCTACAAGATGATCCTGGTATAAAATGTAGGTAAAAAGTATTTCCTTCATATGTTCTAACCTATTCTGAGCAGCAAGCCAAGATGAGTCCTGAAAGTTTGCCCAAAACACACTTTTTGAAGTTTGAAGTCCAGTGAATTATAAGATACAGATTCAACATCCAGAGTACTGGTGCTTGTTTCTGTTCCTCTGCATCACTGACATTAAGCTGGTGTAGTTTATTCACCTCCCTATCCCTGGCCACCTCCTCCAGCTTATACACCTCCTACACTAGGAGGAGTAACGGCTCTACTCTGAGGGAGAGGCCAGCCATCCTTCAGAGAAAGCTCATTTCTACAGTATGTATCCACAATCTCGTTCCAGTCACTACCCAAAGCTCGTGACCATAGGTGAGGGTAGGGACATAGATCGACCGGTAAATTGCACGCTTCACTTTTACACTCAACTCTCTCTTCACCACAACGGACCAAT